TAATTGAAATAATAAAGTTTATTGTCAATGTTAGTATTTGAAATACAAAATACAAAATACTTTCAATTTTTCGTTATTAATATCGAAATACAAAATACAAAATATATTTGTCTTACCAATACCGTTTTTCAAATAAAAGTATTTTAAATACATGCCCAGCCCTGGTTGTAATAAGATATTTTATTACTGTGTATAATAAGATTAATAATATCAATGCTCTTTACAATAAAATACAACTAGCAAACTTTAAAATTATGCGTCTTGTTACGTAGAGTAATCTTTAAATCAGTTTTAAACAAAATAAAGGTGATGAATTTTTTAATAGGGAGTTTTTGCAATAACGTGAATTCAGATTCGGTGAACGCTAAAGTCACGCTATCCTTTTCTTAATTAGTTATTAAGAAGAAGATAATCTGACTTTAGCGTTCACTGTATCTGGATAAACGCTATTGCAAAAACTCCCTAATATCCTTTGCTTTTTGATGCTAACGTTGCGATTATTTATGTTAGCTTCCGAAAGCTGTCAATGTTGTGGATCACAAAGGAGAAATGGCTCTAGAAGTTGCCTTGAAAACTCGCCAGCCATCTCTGGCACGCACCCTGGTCGAGCACGGAGCGGATCTAAATGCGAAAGACGCGAGAGGTCTTTCTCTCCTTCATTCAGCTATCTTGAAGGGAGACTCCTATTCGTCCGAGTTCATAATCGAGCAGCTGGAGAACAATGGCAGCGTATCAAAGTTATGTGAGGCTGTGAAAATCAACGAGAGTGCGAAGAATGCAGCCGATCTTAAGCAATTGGAAGGCTGCACTGCCTTGCATCTAGTAGCAAAGCACAATACGGAGAACATGTTGGCGGTTGGAATGAGATTACTCCAAGCGGGAATCGATCCGAACTTACAAGACCACAGAGGATGGTAAATTTGTATTCTCTATCAACTTTCTACTAAAAAATTTTTAACTTTTAGAATTCAGACACAATGAAAGGAATAAGGAACAAGGAATAACAGATTTCCGTGCTACACAGTTTTTGATAGATTGAAATTTTATTCCTTGTTTCTTATTCTTTTTCTTGTGTGTCTGAGTCCTTACATTATACTCCAAATAATGTAGAAACTAAATGATTGTCTGATAGAATTTGAAATAGAATTTATAGCTTTTAAAATTATTAGCATTTTTTATCCCCTGCCTTTTTACAGGACTGCGCTTCATAGCTGTATCTCGGAGAAAAACGAGATGCTATTCGATCTATTACTCGAGGCAAAGAATATAGATGTAGATCAAATCACAAACGAAGATGACACACCGTTGTGTTTTGCGATGAAGATGGAACCCTTCAACGAATACTTTGCGTCGAAATTGCTTGCTAAAGGCGCTATACCGAATCCAACATATGATGTCACCGAAAACACATTGCTTCATATCTTAACGCAAGAACGCAAAGAAGAGGCAGCGTTATTTTTAGTGGAATATTGTAATAATAATTTAACGAAAACTAACAACGAAGGTTTCACAATACTACACGAAGCGTGCAGAGTGGGTTTAAAGGATCTGACTCATGCTCTGTTAAAAAACGGGCTGCCGACCGATGTCGTTACTCTTTCCACTGGCGACGCGCCAATTCATTTCGCCATTTCGAATCTGTACACTGATATCGTCATCGAGCTATTAGACGCTACAAGTGTGGATTCACAGTTGACTATTAAAAACAACGCGAACGAGACACCTCTGAGTTTGGCTATAAAGACACCATTCAAGAAGGGCAAAGATATCGTACTGGCTCTGATAAAAGCTGGAGCTGACGTGAACGAGCGCAACGACGAAGGCCTGACATTATTGCATCAAGCGATACTGAAAGAGGATTCGGCTACAGCGATATTTTTGTTAGAAAATGGCGCTGACATGAACGCAAAGTGAGTTCGATAATACATTAAAACTTACAGAAATCTATTTGCGATCACAGTCTCAATTTTATCAACAATTGTATTTTGATATGTGCAGAACAGCCAATGGAGAGACACCGTTACAACTGTGCGTACATTGTAGACTGGGCGAAGTGGTAGAGACTCTTTGCAGGCGAGGCGTAGACACTTCAATAGGATGTCCGTTATGGGATGCTTTAGATTCAGACCAAGAAGATACTGCATCAATTTTAGTTAAACACGGAGCGGACACAGATTGTTGGAATTCAGGCCCCGATGGCTGTCAACAAACATTGTTACACAGAGCAATCGATGACAACAAAGAGGATATTGCACAGTTCTTGATTAGAAGGTGCGAAATTTTTTTTAGTTGAGAAGAATAGATAACAAGCAAAGATTTATTTTAAGAAATGATTAAATCATTGCAGATACTATCTTATATTTTGTAATTTGTCATGATGGAGATATAATTTGATTTACTATAAAAAGAAGTTATTTAAGTAATTGCAAACATTGTGTTTTACCTTTTTTTTAAATGATTTATTATTTTGCAGTGGATGCGACTTGAATGCTCCGAGACGACCTGGCCCAGATGGTGCTGGTGGAGACGAGGCAAGAGACGAGTGCACGCCGTTACATTTGTGTTGTCAATGGGGACTGGAGCAAGTCGTTCAAACGCTTATCGAGCACGGAGCTGATGTGAATGCCCGCGACGCGGATGGAAAGACACCTGTGCATGTGGCAATACAGAATCAGCATTCGCAGATTATTTCTCTTCTGCTGTGCCACCCAAATATAGATCTGAATAAAAGAGATAAGAAGGGGCTGTCGCCTTTCGCGACCGCCCTGACAGTTCGCAATAACAAAGCCGCACAAGCAATATTAGAAAGATTACCTAAGGCCGCTGAACAATACGACAATAAAGGCAGAAACTTCTTGCATACTGCTATACAGAAGGGTGACATGGAGAGCATTCTATTTTTATTGTCGATACAAGTACTGTATTTAATTTAGGCGTAATAAATTAATTATGTATAAAGCCAGTATCTGCAGCCGATCGTCACTTTTCAGGTAGATGTAAATTCGAGAATACACGACGTTACACAAACACCACCCCTACATCTTGCCGCCGTGTCGGGGAATGAGATGTTAGTGCGAAGTTTGATTTTAGCGGGTGCTCGTGTCAACGATACAGATGCAAATAGGAACACCGCGCTGCACGTGGCGGCCAAAGCAGGACATGCCGCTGTTGTCTCTGCATTATTGCAAGTAAGAAACTATCTAACATGCTATGTATCGAAATCAACAATCCTAATCTTGATATACCCATGGTATCAAACAAATTCTCGTTTGCATAGAATAACATTAATTTTGACGCGGTAAACGCGGATGGCGACAACGCGTTGCACGTAGCTGTAAGAGAAGGTCACGTATCAGTGGTGCGGACATTATTGACCGAATGTACGTTGGATGCAGAAGCGGTGAATCTCAAGGGCCGTAATCCTCTACATGAACTGGCCAGATGCGCGAGGGACAATGCTGCGACGATATGCGATCTATTCTTAGAATGCATGTCGCAATATCCAGTTAATAACACAGGTTACAGAAAAAAGACGATAAAATTATTTTGAAAGATTAAAATTATTCTGAAAGACAATGCAATCTCTCTTAGCCAAACTGTATTATTTACAGTATTATGGATGTTTTCCAGCAGAGACACAGGTGACGGTGAATAATTACACTCTTGTTGTTTGCCAATGTTAAACAAAGATGAAGTGATTATTATGTTACACCATGTCTCTTGCTGAAAAGTACCATATATGTGTCTTATTGAGTTTGTATATTTCAGACTTAGATGGAAATACTCCATTGTTGATCGCGTACATGAAGGGCAATGGCAATCTTTGTAGAACGCTAGTGAAAGCCGGGGCATGCCTAGGTTCGATGAATAAAGATGGAATTACGATCTTCAATTATCAAGTAGCGACGAAACAGTTGTTGTATAGACTGTTAGATTCTTTAACACAAGAAGCTCCATGGTCCGATAAGGATTGCTGTTTAGAGTGCGGAACAAAATTCTCTCTTACAATGCGCAAGCATCATTGGTATTGTCGAATTGTTTTAAGGACAAAAATTAAATGTATTGATCTTTTAAACATATATTTAATACTCTTTTTTTTAGCCGGCATTGCGGACGAATTTTGTGCAGCAAGTGCTCAGGTCAAGATGTACCAATCTTGAAATTTGGCTTGAACAAACCAGTACGTGTGTGCAATGTATGTTTTGATGTATTACTGGGTACTGGTTCTCTTCAACCATCATAGTTAAAATAAGAGTTTATATATATATGACAAAACAAATGGAGAAAAAGATCATTCCAACATTTTTTTATATGGAAAAAAAAACAGAACGAACTGAACTGAAAGTCTGTGTATAATTATGTCATTCATATTTTATGTATCTTATTGTATACACATTGTTAAAAACTATCTTATAAAGTTGAAATACAGATGAAGAAGAGACCGTAAAGAAAGATTTCCATCTGTAATAATTTAATCTTTTATTGCTAGTATTTGATTATATATATACATATTTGAGAGAAATTTTTAGCTTTAACATTGCGAACAACAGTTTAGCTCTTTATGGGAGTATGGTGCAATTATTTGAGTTTACTGAACAGAGTCTTCGAGACACAATGATCTACGCATTGCACGTAATCCAAAATCTCCTCTACACACGTTTCCTCTGTGTGAGATCTTGAATTAACACGGTTGTTACACGTGTCTAACTTCTCTTTGAAACTGACACATTTCGATAGTTGACTGCATTCCTCCTGTACAAGGAAAAATCAGATATAAATTAAAACGGTACAAGGTAATGTTTGATTGTGATAGAATTTTATCACGACATGCTTAACATCAATTCTTTTATTAATAATTGATATGAGTAACTATATAAACGATTTAAATTTAAACCGAATTAAAAACTCAATTCAATTGTTTTACTCCATTAAAAAAATTATATTCGTGTAAAAGAAATTTTATTAAAGCTCGTATTCTATTCCGGCTTTATTATACTGCTATTTTGATGTTAAAGACAAGCAGACAGAATATCGGCGTTTAGGAACCTTTCTTCCAGTCAAAAATTTCTTCAAACTGTGAAATCACAAAATGCAACGAGTCATAATCGTGGCTTAAACTTAATCAAATGCGACTGTATTTCGAAAAATCGGTGAGGTACTTGCATGCGTTCGAAAGACAAAACATTATATAACAATGTCACTTACACGAAGGACTGTTTGTGGATCCACTAGTTCCTCTTCCTCTTCCTCTCCCTCGTCGGCCTTAACTACTGGCAGATAACGCTTGAAAAAGTTCTGTATCGACATATCTTTTGTTTATCAGGATACTCTAATATCGTGAAAGTTGACTCTCTAAACTTCTGAACCTTGGAGAGGACCAGGGAACTCTTGGAAATGAATGAAGATAACCACAATCTCTGCAACTTCAGAACGTTCGGGAAGAATTATCACGATTCATCGATTGATCGAAATTTAAAGTTGTATCAAAGAATTCGTACAGTAACCAATCAGCTGCTGCAGATAACAGGTAGATTGAAAAGTGATTGGCTACGTTTCTAATGCTGGATTCACACTGCATCCGATTTTCGTCATACGACGCT